AGATACTTAAAAGTTAAAATTTAAATTGTCTTTCCATCTGTCGAAAATAGTTTGTTTCACACTCAGAGTGTATTATACTGCATAAAATGCCAACCGCAGCGTACTAAAATTTGTCTTTGTAATTATCTCGAGGTGCGATTGATCTTCCACCTGTATTCGTGAAGGTGCAAGTGAAATGGTTTGCCCACTTAGAGAGAATGCCTTGTGACACCATACCATACAAAGCATACATGAAAAGAGAAGAAGGACGTAGAGCACGAGGTAGACCAAGAACAAAATGGAAGGATAACATCAGAGAAACTCTACAACAGCACGATTTGCCTATGGTCGAGGCAGCCAGAAGAGCTAGAAACAGAACCTTATATCTCCCTCGACACCCATAGCGGTAAAAGAGGAAGTGAAGAAGAAGAAAAAAAAGAAGAAGAAGAAGAAGAAGAAGAAGAAGAAGAAGAAGAAGAAGAAGAAGAAGAAGAAGAAGAAGAAGAAGAAGAAGAAGAAGAAGAAGCAGCGGATAAGTAAGATTGTAATTACATTTTAGCAGAAATTTTTAAGTGGAAAAATGTGGTCTGTACAATAGTCACTGTTGGCCTCGTCAAGTAAACACTTATAATTAAAGGCAATGCGTTGTGAATCCTAGACAATCGGTAGGCAGGCCAAAATATTTCTTGAGGCTTCAGAGATGTGGTTTTACAAAACAATGTTTAAGATACCCTGGACAGCAACAACAACAACAACAAAAGTACCAAGAGGTTTTGAAAAAGGCGGGAGCCGAAGACAACTTATCACAGATATCAGAAGGAGACAGTCATCATTTTTCGGCCGTGTTATGAGAAGAGGGAAAATGGAACATGTGGTAACCACTGGAAAGATCTGTGCAAGGAGGGATAGAGGAAGACAACAAGAGACGATTCTTGACAGTCTTGTTGCTTGGCATGTGTCAGCACACGAACTAATACATGCTGCAAGAGATCGCAGATCATGGCGAGGCATATTCGCCCACGCCAGTCGGCAAGGCACCTGATGATGATGAATACACTATTCGTATTCGTATTCGGCCAAATAGTTGGTCCCGCATTTCGTATTCGGCCGAAGAGTGAAAATCACTATTCGGTAAAGCCCTAATATTTAGATCTCATTTGTAAAGGATAAAGCAAAAACCCTCTGTTCTATGCTCCCACAAGCGTGTCGTAATAGACGACTTTTTAGGAGTGTTTCTTTCGAAGTCGGAGTGCATCTGCCTGAAATGCAGGGAACCAACCGTCAAAATATAAGTAAGCCAGATCTGTAAAACGGATGTGCATGCTAAAAATCAGGCTCCGTAACAAAATTAAAGTCCAAAGTGGACGAACAATCAAAACATTCCCCTGGAGTGTACAGCCGTTAAACGCGACTAAGAAAACATAAGTAAGTTTAAAATAAAATAATTTCTTGGCGTAATTATTGAAGTATCTGCCAGATAGAGGCGGTGTTCAAATTGCGCGTGATAATGGTCTAAAGCTCCGGTTCTTAACCTGTGGGGTGCGACCCTTTTGGGAGTCGAACGACCTTTTCAAGAGTTCGCCTAATACTATCGGAAAACACATATTCACTGAAGTTAGCAAACAAAATAATATTATGGTTGGGGGTCGGGTCACCACAACACGAGGAGCTGTATTAGGAAGGTTGAGAACCCACAAGTTACGGCCAATAATTGAGACAAACCTGCAACAGGGGACATAATCGTGAAAACTATTCTTGTCCCCTTAAAAAATTATAACATGTCAGGGGAAGTAATGCCTTGTGTATGTAACTACAACTGTACCAACCTGTAATTATTTCACACTTAGTTAGTTGTGTATAATGATTTTTATTGGCTGAAAATTTATTGTCTATGCCAGGAATTACCTTGTTCTACCTCACAATGTATATTTATTTATTATATACATAACACGCATTATTGATAACATGCACTGGTACTCTGAAAGGTGAGTGCTTAGAAGGGCCGAATGTTAAACGGGCCTGCGTGCCCAATTTGTAACCCTTTGAAAATAAAGTGTGTTCGTTCGTTCATATAGACTTAGTTTTCTGCCTTAGCGTGGTTTTTTTTGCTCTCTCTCTCTCTCTCTCTCTCTCTCTCTCTCTCTCTCTCTCTCTCTCTCTCTCTCTCTCTCTCTCTCTCTCTCTCTCTCTCTCTTTATAGTTTTAGAATATTATGTAGTTGCCAACCTTTACACACCACTATAAACATTTTTGTGTGTGTGTGGAGTGGCGGGGACTGGGGGGGGGGGGGGGGTATTTTTAAGAGCTCCAAACCGGCATTCGTCCAGGGCCCTTCTTCTTCTGCGTTCGACATCAGTCATGCTAAACATTGAGCCCCGTCTGGGTCACAAATAGGATTGTGCGTTTAAGGTCGCCACCGGTCTCCCATAGCTTCTCTTGTAATGTGGCTCACTTGGGCCAGATCCACAGTCTTTGCTAGGAGAGGTTAGGGCAGTACTGCAGTATGTGCTCAGGGGTCTGTCTTTCTGCTCCACAATCACAGGCAGCAGATTCTTTTATGCCTATCCTGTACAGGTGTGCTCGAAGACCACAGTGTCCAGTCCGAAGTCTAAAAATTGATGTTTGTTCTTTGTTAGGGCCCTAATATAACCTTACGGTTGAAAAGAGGTTTCTGGGACTTGCGCCCATGGGAGTCCCATCCGAATGGTCACACTTTGTGTTAGCGGATGTTAGTCGCTGGTTGTGCTGACCTGGCGGGGTTGAAGGTCACTCACTCGCCAGTGTCGCAGCGGGCATTTAAGGTTAGACTCAGATTTGAATAAACCAGCCAGCCCTCGATGGGTGCTGTGGTCAGCAACACGCCAGCTGCCTTTACTTGCCAGTACTACCTGCTGCCATTGAAGGTTGTGTCGACCTGGGAGCCAATGTCACGTATCACAGAAAATCCGGCTGCATGGGGATTTGAACCCACGACCTTCGGGCCCGCATGCGAGCATCTAGCGGGTAATCAGGGGCAATTCATCAACTGGTGAAACTGTCAAATGTAGAAAGTAACCGTTTTGTGGTGCAGCAGTACAACTGTGCTGTGTGGCTGAACGGTTGAAGTGGGTCTCTGGGATGTGTGGCTGAACGGTTGAAGTGGGTCTCTGGGATGTGTGGCTGAACGGTTGAAGTGGGTCTCTGGGATGTGTGGCTGAACGGTTGAAGTGGGTCTCTGGGATGTGTGGCTGAACGGTTGAAGTGGGTCTCTGGGGATGTGTGGCTGAAACGGTTGAAGTGGGTCTCTGGGATGTGTGGCTGAACGGTTTGAAGTGGTATGTCTCTGGTGGGTCTCTGGAATGTGTGGCTGAACGGTTGAAGTGGGTCTCTGGGATGTGTGGCTGAACGGTTGAAGTGGGTCTCTGGGATGTGTGGCTGAACGGTTGAAGTGGGTCTCTGGGCTGTGTGGCTGAACGGTTGAAGTGGGTCTCTGGGCTGTGTGGCTGAACGGTTGAAGTGGGTCTCTGGGATGTGTGGCTGAACGGTTGAAGTGGGTCTCTGGGATGTGTGGCTGAACGGTTGAAGTGGGTCTCTGGGATGTGTGGCTGAACGGTTGAAGTGGGTCTCTGGGATGTGTGGCTGAACAGTTGAAGTGGGTCTCTGGGATGTGTGGCTGAACGGTTGAAGTGGGTCTCTGGGATGTGTGGCTGAACGGTTGAAGTGGGTCTCTGGGATGTGCAGATGTTTGATTCTTAGCCTTGAGATGTTAATCCCACAGGATGCAATCCTGGGGGTGGGGGGGGGGGAGGACTTTCAAAAACACGTTAAACTTTAGTTACATAATCCATCCTTACTGATCAGGATTCGGCGTCTGTCTTGCGCTGGTTTTGACAGTGGTACCGAGCACTGACCGTTAAGAGCTATGGCAAATTACTGAACGTAAAATTTGTCTAGAAGAACCATAACAGCCTATATAAATGTTGGAGTTGGTTCTGCAGTGTCCTGTAAAGGATACGCAACTAACTTAAGTGTTCATGACTGCGGGCTGATCTAGTCGTTAGAGACGCCCTATTAACTACTATAGAAGTTGAACAAGGTAATTGAGATTTGACTGGCTGGCTTGCCATCCAAAAAGAGATATAGTAATCTCAGGGTGGTCAACACATGACCTCCATTAAAGTAGGTCATAGTCAAACCTTCAGGAAAGGAGAATGAATAAAAATGAAAGAAGGGAACAACTCTCTTGCAACGTATTGGTAACAGCCTCAAGGAAGACGACAGACAAAGGTTTGTTGCACAGAACTCAACCTGCACGAGACTGCAGGGTGCACCAAAGTGTTACTTTGTTTAGCTTTCACGGGAGCTCTAATTATAACTTCTGTGGGGTCTATAGACGAATCTGCATTTTGCCATAATAAAGTACCAGCCCACAGCAGTGGGAGATGGTCGAATAGACAGACAGTCATCATGCCACAGTAGTTACCTTTTACGACATGGTTATTAGGAGACAGAGCGCCCCTCCCCCCCCCCCCAACCTTTACGCCCACCTCCAATAAGGCATCGGAACCCCCATGAGAAAACTGCCAAAGTGAGTTGAAGCGCAGTCATCCTATTGGCTTGCTATGTGATTGGTCCCTAGTGATTGATCCCTAGTGATTGGTCCCTAGTGATTGGTCCCTAGTAATTGGTCCCTAGTGATTGGTCCCTAGTAATTGGTCCCTAGTGATTGGTGCTTACTCATTGGTCCCTAGAGTTATGGACCTAGCTTCCTGCGTTCCAATGCAAAACAGTCAGGGTTTTCCGCCAGAAATTGACCATAGCTCTCAGGAGAAGCCAGCCTAAAAAATGTGTACTAGGAAATATAATGGGAAGGTAAAGGCGGCCAGCAAGACACTGGCCACATCACTAGTCGAGTACCGTTTGATTTGTACAAATTATAAGTATAGATTTACTGGCTTGAAAATATTTTTGAGTTTCAGTACATAATCACAATTTCTGGTGTTTATCGTGTGGTTGACTTCTTTTTCTTGTTTCCTTTACAGGCAGACCAGCTGACAGAAGAGCAGATCGCTGGTAAGTTGCCAGTTTTTCTCACATTACATGAGATAACTACTTCTATACTAACATAATTGTACATGAGCAGGTGTGTTTTCTTCGTCTCCCTCTGTTTTCTTCTTATTCTTCTTCTTCTTCTTCTTTTTCTTCTTCTTCTTCTTCTTCTTCTTCTTCTTCTTCTTCTTCTTCTTCTTCTTCTTCTTCTTCTTCTTCTTCTTCTTCTTCTTCTTCTTCTTCTTTTCTTATCTTCTTCTCTTCTTCCTTCTTCTTCTTCTTCTTCTTCTTCTTCTTCTTCTTCTTCTTCTTCTCTTCTTCTTCGTCTTCTTCTTTCTTCTTCTTCTTCTTCTGCTTCTTCTTCTTCTTCTCTTCTTCTTTTCTTCTTCTTCTTCTTCTTCTTTATTCTTCTTCTTCTTCTTCTTCTTCTTCTTCTTCTGTTCTTCTTCTTCTTCTTCTTCTTCTTCTTTCTTCTTCTTCTTCTTCTTCTCTTCTTCTTCTTCTTCTTCTTCTTCCTTCTTCTTCTTCTTCTTCTTCTTTTCTTCTTCTTCTTCTTCTTCTTCTTTCTTCTTCTTCTTCTTCTTCTTCTTCTTCTTCTTCTTCTTCTTCTTCTTCTTCTTCTTCTTCTTCTTTCTTCTTCTTCTTCTTCTCTTCTTCTTCTTCCTTCTTCTTCTTCTTCTTCTTCTTCTTCTTCTTCTTCTTCTTCTTCTTCTTCTTTCTTTCTTCTTCTTCTTCTTCTTCTTCTTCTTCTTATTCTTCTTCTCTTCTTTTCTTCTATCTTCTTCTTCTTCTTCTTCTGAGTTCTTCAGAGGCTTCTTCTTCTTGATCTTCTTCTTCTTCTTCTTCTTCTTTCTTTCTTCTTCTTATTCTTCTTCTTCTTCTTCTTCTTCTTCTTCTTCTTCTTCTTCATTCTTCTTCTTCTTCTCTATCTTCTTCTTCTTCTTCTTCTTCTTCTTCTTCTTCTTCTTCTCTTCT